AATTTGCAAGTTACAAAAATTAATTCGGGAATTAGACAGGCAATTGGAAAACACGGTGTTTACAGATTCTTCACACTCAGCAGTCGATAGAGGATTTGAATTTATTAGTACGGTATGAAATAGCAGGTTCTGTTGATGGCAACGAAGATGATGAAGGGTTCCCTGGAGTTCCACATAAAATCTTCTGAGCGGTTTCAATCTTGTTAGTTAATGACTCATTATCACCAAGTACGTGTCATCGGGTGCTTCCGTAAGAAATTTATGGAAATCTGCTTTAAAAAAACGCTAGATTTTTTGGATGATACCCAACGTTCTTTCTTTTCAAAAATGGTATCAGCGTACTGTATTTAGAAATATCAACACCCCTTCTTAGAAAAACCATACTTTTCAACATGGAATAATCACACCCTAAGCTTGATGGCGATTTCAATCCTTCACTACGTTGAACAAAATATGCTAACACAATTTTTTCACTTATGTCAGTTTGACATTTACTTACACACCATTTAAGGAAAGAATCATATGCGGCTTCATATCTACTTTTAGATTTTTCGGGAATAATCGACGCGCAGCCAATACTCCATGCATTTTCTATTTCGGAATCTTCTGAATCATTCATGTTCACTTAGTCTCAACCAAACCAAGGTTAGTAGAGAGAGTAGGTTGCCTCGTAACTTTAGAGAGACGCGTCATCGAGAATCCAGAAGTCCCATTTGATTGGTTTTTAAATTTTCGTTGACTTTGACAGTTATATTTGAACTGTGTAAGTACTTATTTGTCAGACAGTGCTGAAGACTCTTACGAATACTTATTATAATTCGATTGAATACTTACTGTTGGATACTTAAGTATCAATATAGGGTATTAGATGCCGGATGGAAATCTTTGTGACGTTGTTATATGCAATAGCAGCTCCAACAAATCGAAAGCAAATGGATCGCAGATTCAGTTTTTTGCTTTTCCAAAAAGTAATTCCTGTATTACAAAAAGAATGGGTTACAAAGTGCAATAGAAATGGGAACCTGAACCCCGACTGTGCAGTTTGCATTTCCGCCGAAGACTATGAAGATGAAATGTAAGCTATTTTGAATAAAGTGCGTTTTCGCCAGCATGTTTCTTTCTATGCAATGCAGGAACTTTTCAGCACATCCATGTAAAGTACCATTTCGATCCATTTTGCATTTTTTGAACTTGCTCTGTTGTTGTTTCGTTAATAATTAATTTTTATGATGTGGACAAAATGGGATTCTGGGTGACGTCATTCGCGTATTTTAATACTGAACGTTTATTGGCTGAAAGTTACGAGACAACCTACTTTCTCTATTAACCTTGCAACCAAACCACGTTTCGCGCACGTGTTGTTTTGTTTTCAAAAACAGAAACGTAACTGTAGCAACCCACAAAAAATTACTGAACCCATTGTGATGCTACCACATTGATACATTCGAATTTAGTTTATATCAATTATAAATTGATCGTGCAAAAAATAGCGTAAGCACCACGACCAGTAGGTGGTTAACCGATTTCGGAATTATTATCCTCAACCGGTAAAGTACACTTACTGACCTTAATACTTAATATACCATTACAGTCGCATGAACCTTGTGGTCATTAGCGACTGCGTTTACAGTTGATACAAAGTGCTTATATCTTACATGTCATGATTACAGGACATATGAGGTGTTATAGTTAGTCGCGGAGTTTTAAATCATTGATAAAATTAATTACTTCTGGCACACATTTATCACTGTTTAGCATTACCTTCAGGTTTGCAGAGATCCTGTGTTTCGCCCGGAGGTTTACTGCACTCAAACAAGTGCTGGATTGTTATAGGGATGTGACAGGCGTTACACTGTTTAGGTGGGTTTTTGGAAATGAGGTGTTCATGCGTATATTTGTAAATGATTTGGTCTCCTTCCGTTATTCAGTTGTATTTGTCTTTGTGTGTAGAAACCATCTCTGATTTGTGCAATTTTTGTTGGACTGTGCTATATCCACTCGGTATCCAAAATTCGTTCGTTCTTAGATGCAGGTGTTTTTTGAGGTCTGGGTGTGTGGCCCGATTATTATGCGTTCTCAGATAGGTAGCCAATCTTACTACTTGACCGATTTCTTCATTGCCTTTGAGACCAGCATGCGAGGGTACCCATCTGAAAATTAGGTCAATGATCTCTTGGTATCTCTTTTTTATGCGATCAAGTTTGGTCGCAATTTTTGAGACTGAGTCGGAGCAGATATCAAACATTGTTTTGCCAGAGCTCTGTATATGGCGAAGGCTTCGCAGAAGAAGATGGAACTGATATGTTTAGCTTAAACATTACCGATTCATTGCTTGATACTACTACGCATCTGTCTTTGGTAAATGGCAGGGCTGGTTTCATTTTTTATGACTTAAGGAGAGGTCAATTTTCCATGCAGTTTCCAGGATGAGTATTTTGGATTTATTTTGAGGATGGCTTTTGGCAAGGAGAAGTTGATATTTTCAAGGAGAGTATTCAGTCTTCAGAAAGGTTTAGGGGATAATTTCCTGTGAGTTTATGGAGAGGACGTTCTCGATGGTAGGGTTTTTTGGGTAGTGGAGTGCTTTAGCTGCATAAGTAAAACTGATGTGCTGATGTTTAGAGGCTGCTCGTTCCTTTCAGCAAGTATGCTGAGGATAGGGCTGGTTTGTATGCATCAATGGCTATTCTCAATCCAGTCAAAATTGACCAGATCAAGTATCTTGATTAAGGTGCCCTGGGCTGAGTTATAAACTATTGATCCGTAGTGTAGTCTAACTTTGCTCTGATTAGGGCATTATGGGTCATTATTATCATTTGTTTGGTTACCCCCACTTGTTATTTGATCAAACTTTCTGATTTGTTGTTGGATATTTGCATCCTGTTGTGTGGGTCCATCTTGTAACTTCATTAAGCGCTTTTTGGACTTGGTTTTGAGTAGTTGACATAGTTTTCCCCTTGCATGTATGTAATTGTGATGTCGTCGGCGTAAATGTATAATTTAACTGGTCCGCGAACAATATTGGTCACTCCATTTATTCCTATCAGGAATAATGTTACGCTGAAAGCAAAGCCTTGCGGTAAACCATTGCTAATTGTATAACATGATGAAAGTGCGTTTTGGAATTTTATTTTGATAACTCTGTCTTTTAAGAAGTTTCCAATGAAGAATAATAATGATCCGTCGATTTCGATGTCATTTTGATAATTCTTCCTCTCCACATCGTGTTATACGCTTTTTCAATGTCAAGGCTTACCGCAACTAGATGTTCTTCATTAATGAATGCATCGCATATATCTGTATCAGTATTGTTAAGGTCCGTGGCGAGAGGAAATTGATATTTTCAAGATGCCATATTAGTCTCTTATTGACTATTTTTTCAAAAAGTGTGCACAGTGCACAAGTCAGTGAAATGGGCCGAAAATTTCGTGGGTCAGTTTGATCTTTGTTAGATTTCGGTATGGGGATGACTGTGGCTTTTTTCCAGGCCTTTGGAAATTCCTTTTTTTTTCTAATATTCCATTAAGTATTTTTGCGAAATACTCAATAGACTGTGATATTGATGTTAATAAATCTGTCCAAGCTTTTGTTTTACTGTTTTTGAAGATTCATTTCATGTTTGCCCTCCGCCAAAATATTCGTCTTTGCGCGCTTTTCACCAAATTTCATTCCACCATGGTACTGGGGTTCCTTTGCATTTTCCCAAAAATTGAATATTAATTACGGTTTTAGTATCAGATTTGCCTAGTGTCAGACGTTAGAGATTGCTACTGCAATATTTTTGTGGCGCGCTATTCACTATCCCTCCTGTTTGTTTCATTGTGTTGTTATCTATTAGATTACAGATAAGGCAGAGAAGCCCCCTTCTGAGCTCAAAAGGTCGTTACAACCAGAGTTCAAAAGTAATTTTTTTAATATTCATCGACTTTCTTGATATAACGTTTGATAACATACTGGTTTTCGATAGAATCGTATTGTAATTACTTTGCGTGATGGTCATTTAACACAACTCCGTTGTTTTCAGCGTAAGCCTGTTTTGACTGTGATAATTTCCTTGATTACTAGTTGATCCCCTTTTTGCTAAAAATTGATTTAAATTTAAACATTGACAGATCTAGATTTTACAGTGCATAACGAAAATGCATTGTCTTGTTTATTTCTGCTACTTTTAAATAAAGACAAGTAAGTAATCAAATTGATTAAATTCTTTGTGTTGTACTAAAAAAAGGAAGATGTTTTCAGATGTGATGTTATGTATTTTTGATTTAGAATTTGATGTGTTTTTAGAAAATATGAATTTCAGAATGCCTAGAAATCAGAGAATGGATAAGTAAAATAATGTACGATAACCAAACAAGTACGACGCTTCTAATTAATGTCGAAACAGTAATCATCTTAATTTTAAGACAGGATTTGAAAAGGGTATAACTAAGTATACGTCTAATAGATTAGAACGGAAGTCTTTATTAAAGACTTCTCGGTTAATTTACAAATAAACGACTTAATTACATAAAGTAGTTTGCAAGATTCATATTTGGCAAATAGGGAAGCGCATAAACCATTATAACATCCACAAGCGCGGAAGCCATAGATGAACGCCGACGCTTGAACTACTCCTCGCTAACTAATTTCAGTGTTAATATGAGACGAAATGTAATAAACGTAAAGCGAATGACAGACTACTATCATGACACCTGCATGAGGGAAGTGATTACTAAGCGAGAATTAATTTGGAGCCATTCTTCAGAAACTATTCCAAGTCAAATCAATTATAATGACAGAACAGAAAGCGCGGGATCTTCCGCCATAGCATTACCAAGTTACCACTACATAATGTGCAACGATCACACGAGCAATTGAATTAAATATGTTTAATTCGTTCGCAAGAGATAATCAGGGGTCAAAAGAAAATCGTTTTGCCCGTTAATTAATTAATACAGGCTGTCCCATTTGTAAATCGTGGGGTGGGTATTGAGATTGATTTTGTAAATTATTCTTACCTGACAATTGTTGCCAACGGTGGTCATGTAAATTCCTGATAATCTGTAAAGAAAGAAATTATTAAGTAAAACTGCTCGGAATAAATTACCCACATCTCACATGCATAGAATTCCTAACTAGCCAGAGACGGCCACAATTTAATTTTATGTTAATAATAAAATTTAAATTGCATGTAGTTAGGAGACAATAGTTTAGCAACCTTTGACCCGTGAGACATGCACATTAATATAAAAATTACCATTAGTAAGTGGAACTTTGTAACATGTAAATTTTGTTTGTTCGAACCGTATCATTTAGAATTTTTAAGTATTTTTCAATAGGCTATTTAACATTTATGTAAGTGCCGAATGAACTGTTTACGACTAAATCTTATAAGTCAACAACACCCTCGAAGTATGTACATTTGTTAAAATTGATTAAATCAAGGCTACTCGAAGTTCTTACTTCTAATTGAACAAAATTAGAGTGCTTGAAATGTAATTGTATAACAGCGTACCTTCACTCCTGGCAATTTACCAAATAAAATTACATTACGTAAGTTACGGATAAATTGAAATAGAAATTTAAATTAACACTGCCGCCTATTTTATGATTAATTTTCGGGAGAAGATTGAAGTGCGTTAAACTTTTACTTAACTGTTTCAAATACTAGAGCCGCCGAGACATAAATACAATATTATATTGGTATCTAATGATAAAAATAGCACATCGTACAAGATGCCATTAACGTAGGCACTTCACAAACTTTACATATAAAGGAAAACAATTATTTTTCTTTTAAGCCTTCAGATAACATAAAAGCATAAGTGTGCACGAGCTCTTTTTTCACTATTAATCTGTTTCGAAAGTGCTTCCATTATATAAAATTTGGACCGGATTTAAATTCATTATGCAATAAATGAATCGTCAATGGTGTATATCCCTATTTAATCAAAAATGTTGTACTGGTTAATCGACAAGAAGGTAACATGAAATCCCGCTTCATAGGGAAACTGACATATGCACCACCCTGTACATATTTGGAAATCATAGTGTTACTTTTGTCTTCTATCGTGCTCTAGCGTTGAAAACGTCGTTTTTTCCCTTTACAGTGATGCTTCTCGTGTTAAGGGTTTATCCACCTTACTTGCTCGTTAACTCCTGTTGCGCATTGTGCATATTACTTTTACCTATAATCATCATTTGATGAGTTTAACTCCCTACATACAAACATTATTTTTTGTTCATTTGTGCTCGCAGTTAATGCCTATCTACATTGGAAATTATACAGCAGTTATGTCTGCTTCTTGTGATCATGTGACCGCATTTTTTTTTAAAGTGCTATATATTATATGTACTTGTTTAGAACAGAGATATCTAATAAACTTGTAAAAAAATACTTAACAATTGTTGCCCTCTTATTACAAGTTAAAAGTTTCTACCGTCCGAACAGTTACCGAAAATTTGTCATCAAGTTCAGTGTTATCAAGAACAAGTCAAGTTTTTAAAAGCTGTCAGCATTTGTGTGTGAGTTTCATGCACCTGTATCGCAAGTCTTATACGACCAGATTATTTGGATTATTGAGAAAAACTGTAATTCTAAGATTTCTTATTTCAATTGTCGACCGCCTGCGTGCGGTGCAATTTGTCCAAACAAGCTTTGTAAGCCTTTGTTTCTTGCAAGGATTTTGTTTTAATTTTGTTTCATTGTGTTTCGGAATAAATTGTTGCCTCATCAATCAATTAGTTTTGTGTTTATCCGAATCCGGATAGAGTTTTCGATTTTTCTTTTCGTGGCAAGATTTATTTCAGATGTTAATCAAAAGTGGTGTAATAAATTCTTTGGAAAGTTGAACGAAGCCACCCAGGCTGATAAATTTGAAGTGAATATTAGGATTTTTGTGGTAGATGCGAAATGTGTACGAGGAGCAACTATAAAATTCTAAGTTTCAATGTTAATTTGTTTTGAGCTAGCGGGACAGGTGTTTTCTGGGTGGTGTAGTGACCGCACGCCATTGCATACAGTAATACGTAACAAAATATATAATAATATATAATATATAATAATATAACTTCACTGAAAATCTTTGGAGCAAAATCCACCCAAAATAAACAACATTCAAATACTTTTATTTGCATCTTTTTGATATTATTATACTTTCCCATTGAATGCTTCAAAAATATTCAAATAGTCAAGGCATCTGAATACTAAATATTTGTTACAGTATTTGAGTTAAAAATACAAATACTGCTTCTATAAAAGTGTTTAATTACAAAGTATTTGAATAGTTCAAAACAATTCAATAGTAAAAAATATGGTTCCAACTCACGAATGTGCATAAATTGTGTGAACTACATTTATCATTTAAAAATATTAAATCCGCGAACTAATCGCCTTTTGAGCATTTCCCAACGCATCTTCCAAACTATTCATCAGATTTTGATCAAGTTTGAGCTACAACATTGTCACGCAACCAGGGAAATCCCAAGGTCATGACTCTGGTTAGAAACAAAAGGCCATTACCTTGAGGCAGCATCCAAGGCCAAAAGCCATAACCTTTGTGACTTCACAAAAAGTGGCGAAGATGGTGCCTCACTTCTACTATTGTGTGTGAAGAAATCAAATTAAACCTATAGATCTAGATCTTGATTCATTTCTCACTTTGGTAATCAGCAATGACTTTTTTGTTGGTATCATTTCAATAAAAATGTTTGCTAGGGCGTAGAAATGATTTTCATATCAATAGTAGGTACTTACATAGCTTTAGTTTTTAGTGAAAACAGTAGTTCATTTTGTTTGCATCCTATCAACCACAGAGTCCTTAATGCAAATGTAATCTGTGGCATTTTTCATTATGTATATTAATTAAGATATGAAATTTGCAGTTCAGTTAACTGCATAAGTTTCTCACTGTAACTGACTGAATCTGATAACCTTAATGGAGTTACTGCTCAGAGATACAAGCGGAAGACGGTTCAGGGTGAATGCGACAATTAATTGAAGCTAGGTATAATGATAAAATTCGCCCAAGTTTACCTATAAATACTGTACTTTAAACAGGAAATAAAAGGAGTGCGTTGAAAATTCAATTATTGCATCACGAGAGGGGAAATTTCCCATTAAATTTAGAAAAAAATGCCAAATCAACAGAAGCTGTAAGTGAAACGGCATTAATACACTTTGTATATGAGAGCTGTATTATAAAGAGCGAAAAGTTCTCCCTTTTGGAAGTGAAAAGCAAATTGGGTTAGTTTCGTCAAAAGATGCTTGGACAGTGAATAAATTGCACGAATGTAACAAAATGATATCTCTGCATAACTAAATTGCCGCAATAAATGAAGTAGAGAGTTTTGTTGCGAAATACGATATGAAAACGCTTTGATCCGAAGCAGAGAACGCCGCCAACGACGTATTGGCGACATAACTTAGACGTCTCGCTTCTTAACGAATTTTCCTCAAACGTATTCTTTTTGAAGAGATCTCGTTAGGTTCTCAGTCTGTAAACAACTTAAAGTTCGCTAATTTGATTAGAGTTTATACACTTTTAACCGCTTCAACGCCGCCTATTTTCACAGATACCATCATCGTGCATTATAGTCCAGTGTGGGAAACAAAAATGGGCGCTTGGTTTGGGCAAATTCCTGTTACATCGTTAAACGTAACTGCCATAAGGTCAACCTTTGTCCAGATGTTTACCGAGTGAAAAATATTTTTCAGTAATCTTAATATGTACTCGTAAACCACATCGCAAATGGTTGCCTAAAAAAATTAAGTCAAGACTACCCTTCATTAAAATTAATGTAATTCATACTAATATTAAGAGGCGTACCACAAGGTTCTATTGTGGGTCCCCTTATGTACTCATTTATTCCTTCTCAATTACAAACAGCATTGGGTTGCGTGAACGAAGATCTAGAGTGCATAGTAGATTTAAGTAAGCGACATAGTTTACAATTTAATTCGTCTAAATCCTCCGTAATGCTTTTTGGAAATACCAAAGAACGTAATAAAATCGGCGCTATGATTGAAATTAAAGTGGATAATTTTAGGTTTCCTCTGAAGAATGTTTGTAAAAACTTAGGTGTATATCTTGACAACGATCTTCGTTTTGATTTTCATATTTCCAAATGTATTCAGAAAGCATATTTAAATTTAAAATTGTTATTCGCCAATCGTTATTGTCTTTCTAGGGAAATGAAAATCTTACTTTGCGATTCCTTAGTATTGTCCCATTTCAATTATTGTGACACACTTTACGATTCTTGCATAACTTGACATACTAGAATGAGAATTCAACGAACACAAAATTCTTGATTCATATTCGGTGTTCATAGATATGATAACATCTCTCACACAATAAAGGAAACAAACTGGCTTAACATGTCTAATAGAAGAAAATTACATACAGCAGTTTTTTATTTCAAGATAATTGAATCAAAAACCCCATCCTATTTGTTTGAGAAAGTATCATTTAGAAGTGATATGCATAACAGAAATCTTCGATCATCTACATCCCTCAGTATTCCTTTTCATAAAACTACATTCTTCAAAAGGTCATTTTCCTACAATATCGCAAATTATTACAATAAAAAAGTACCCATCTCGTTTCGAAGTTTGTCCATTTCGAGTTTGAAATATAAGTTTAAAACCATGCTTCGCTTAAGTCAATAGGTAAACACACCATTATCAATCACATTTGTCATTAATTACTCCATCTTTCATTTTGTTGTCCTTATAGTAATTACTAGAGAACACTCAATTCTAATTTTTACTAAATGTTTAATAATAATAGGCACCGATATTGAGTCTGGTGGAAGACCAGTGAACCTACACGGTAAACTGAAACAGATCCGTTTTCCGGTTTCCATAAATATGTTATGTAATTTATCTATATGTCCTATGGAAATAAAAGTATTATTATTATTATTATATTTCTGTCTGCTTCTATTCCATGGAGAGAGCGCATGCGCACTCTCTTACATCGATGCGTGCACCACGATCAACTGTTACGTTGTGTTCTTGTCTTTCACACGGAACAGTACGGTTGTCGCAAGTACCGCGC